TATCTGTGTTTGACAAGGACTCTTCCTTCCGATGCCAATCTTCTAGAATACTCCAACACACGTCGTGAGCCTTCAATTCTAACATCGTGAGTATGTATTTTTGCTGAATTTTAATTCTTCTTTTCTTCAAATCTCCAAAGTTCCATGTTTTGACAATTTTAGTCCTTTTCTTCAAAAATGCTTCTATTTTGGCTACAAAATATAATTTAAACTTATAAGCACCATTATTCTATGCTGATAACCAAAATATTAATAAAAATATAAACAAATATTGCCTAAAAACATGTATAAATATGACAATATCAGCAACACACTTTGCCTTTAGAGTTGATATGTTTCTCAGAAATCTTCATAAAGATTTTAAGACCTTCCAAGTATTATGAAGACATTTGGTCCTCTCTAATCCAACTTTTATCGATCGTCATTTTTGTTTCATAATTAAAAATTATATTATATATATAGTTATCAAAAATTAGATTGTATTTGGGCTATATAAAGAAATATACATGAGAATGGATAGAGAAATATATACTTGAGAAGTAAGAATTTGACGAAATGGATAGAGTATTCACAATGGTAGGCTTCTAAACCTACTTTTTCAATACCATATCTCATATGCGAATGTGTATTGCATGACTGTTTGTTTTAGAAAAATGCGTCAATATTTCCCCTTAGCTCCCAAGTATATAAAGAATTTATACACGAGTAGCAAAAGAAAACGATCATAGTCTCTGATACCATTGGTGGGTTTTGAGCATAACAAACAATCCTTGTGCGTGCATGCAACCCTAATTTGTAGGATCTATATTTTTACTATTGGGCATGCAAGTATTGAACACAAAAGAATAAACCCTAGAAGGCATCTAGTATAATCAAAATTCACAATAAGAGAAAGTAGACTAACCTTTAATTGTTATATAGTAACAACAACAAATTCATGAAGTAGTTGAAGCTTGAGAACTAGTGTCACAAGCGTAACACCTCTAATGGATCACAAACACACTTAGCAAGAGGATGTATGAAAGGGAAGGAGGAGGAGGCTTCAATATTTCGACTCTTCTTAGGGTTAGTATGATTGGCCAAAATCCCTAAGGGGTATGCCCTTTATATAGTTGTTGGCAACTTAGGGCCACATCTAGGGTTTTAAGGAGGAAACCCTAATTCCTTAGTTTAAGGCCTAAGCAGACCAAGAGCCCCATCCAAGAGGCCCTTGGATGAAATTTCTAGGATATTCCTAGAAGATTTCGTTCAACCCATCTAGGAGGGTTCTAGAGCCCAAATCCACAACTATCAATAAATTGTCAAATAACCCAACTACTTTTAATTAATTCCTTTAATCCCAAAATTAATTCCAAATTAATTTATGATTAAATATTAATTAATTAATATCATTTATAATTAATATATTATTTTCATAATACATTAATAAATCATTTATTTCAATTTATTAATCAAATAATAAATTCTTCCTCTTTCTCAGTAAATCATCTTGTCTAGTTGCTAGTATGAACGCAACCCAAAAGGACTGTGTTACTATCAATTCAAGTACATACCAATTATAATTATGGGTATAGACACCTAATCTAACACAATAAACCATGCAATACGGAGGCTTTCCCTCCATGGACAGACCAATTCTAACCACCAACTCTGCATTCTGCCCGGAACTCCTGTAGTATGAGATACCCCATTCACCAATGATCACAAATATATCCAAATACAATGACACAACGGACCCGGAAGAGCACATAGATACCTATGAATTGATGATGATGTCGCTCCAAATGGACAAGAGGTTCATTTGCACATATTCCCCTGTCACGTTAGCAGGGAATGCAGACAAATGATTCAAAGCTCTCTTTCTGGGAAGTATCTCAAGCATCGAGCAATTACGATACCTCTTTCTTAACAAATTTATGAAATTTTGAAAGGGGAAAGGAGACACGAACTCCATCATGGCGTGTAAGCAAAAGGTAGGGGAGTCGATATGAGAGTACTATGAAAGGTTGACCCTCGCAACACTTAACATGCTAGGAGACAAAGAATTCATTGTTACAGGTGCCTTCGACCATACACATCTCCTCGACCCTCTATCAAAAAAGATGTAGGGAATAGTGCCAAAAACAATAGATAAGCTCAAATATAGGTTGAAGAAGTACTTAAGGCAATTCAAGTGCGAGGAGCGGAAGGAAGGAAACGTTAAAGCGATGGCAAACACATATATCAAACAAGAGGAAGCAGACGCTCGTTCCAGCTCCCACCACATAGGGCATCACGATAAACACAGCCGACACTCGAGACACTCGTCTCGAAGGCTCCGCCCATTCGGCAGAAACGAGTCACAAGCAAACAGATCCAAAGTACATGTTTTTGAAAAAACACCAGTGAATGCATAATGTTGAAAAAGAAGTGGAAGAAAAACAATTGATCGGTAACCTTCTGGATATAGCGAAACATTTGAGATCCAAATCTGACATCGAAGAGGTACGGAAGAACACCCTTAACATCAACTTTTCTTTAGAAGACCCCCAAATGGAATCCCAGGGACCAGCTTGTGATAACTGCCAACACGCGCCAAAGGAAAATTTACGAAGTACTAATTGACAACGGAAGCAGCACAAACGTTTTTTATGAGCATTGCTTCAGCGAGCTCTCAACCCACTGGAAAGAAGGATTAAAACAACCAATGAAAGGCTCCCTGGTGAGACTCACAGGTCACCAGCTGCGGCTGGTTGGCACCATAAATATCCCCCTCAACCTAGTCAATCACGACCAGAAGGAAAGAATCATGAGGGTGACAGAATTCTCAGTGGTAAACCACTCATCTGATCCTTGGACAGTCAACGCACTTTCAAGTTCCAGGCCATACTGTCGTCAAACTGGAGGACGCACATGTCTTGAAAAAGCGAAGGACAAGCCATCGTGGATGGAAGAATTCAACTCCAGTACCCATCAAGCAAGATCAAGAAGGTGAGGGAGATAACATCCTAATGGGAGATAATCCGGGGGGTGGCATTGCTACAACAACAAAGCTAAGTTGGGAGCCATAAAGGCATCTGACATGAACACCCACGCGGTTTCGGTTTTATCAAACTTCCTTGCACACCACCCCACGACAAGAAGCCATGACGGATGACTGCGAAAGCCCAAAATCCGACCTACCTTGGGTGAGGAAGTATTATCCTGTAGAGGACCAGAAGCCCACATTCCCTACGATACTAAAAAACAAAAATACGAAACCACCAGGATACGGAGCAAAGATTTCCAAATAAATGGATAGACATGAAATCCAGGCGAGCTCCCAAAAAAGAAGTCAGATTAGGACAAATCAACAAAACCACAGGGCCCTCCAGCCAAATTAGACTACACTCAGATCCCATCTAGGATGAACTCCCACCAAACAAAGCCCCAAACAACAATACACGGAGAGACATGGAGGTTGTGAAAAAGCATAAACAAAAGAACCAGACACAAGGCACTAGGAGACAAGAGGATCCGAAGGTCACTCCTGGCAAGGCGGTCGACCCGAAAATATCAAGATCCTGCATGTGCAAGGATACAACCATACCGTGGCAAAACATGCTCGAGAGATACCAGGGATACAAGAGCATAGACGTCGTAGGGCCACCGCCTGGCGAAAACTTAACACACAGCCAGGAAATGACTGGGAAAACAGTGTCACCGATCAAGGTAACGATTAGATTGTCGCGAACACCGAACTTCGACACAAACACCAAAAAAGCAAAGCAACATGCGACTGTGGGCAGGTCCACCAAGGAACGTGCAAGAAGAATTGTAAGAACAAATCAAAGGGAGTACGGACCCTAAGAGCCCAAAATTAGGTTGTATCCCCCGAAATTTGACACACACACAAATCATACCACCATCGCTAGAGCAAAGGGAGAGACCTAAATAAAGTAGTTCTAAAGCATGAACAATGTGATCAAACTCCGAATGGATAATCATACCCAAGAAAAACAACACAAGGGCCAATAATTGGCTCATATAGTAGTCACCCCTCTTCCCTTATTAAAAAACATAGATCTTCCCAGAAATAAAAACATCATTAACGAGGCTATGAAAGTTGTATTTCACTATATATATATATATATATATATATATATATATATATTGCTAAAATATTTGTACTCAAGCTCGACACCACCCATAAGAGGTTGTACACATGTACCAAACGACAACAAGGACAGATCATCCACGTTGTTTGAGTGAAACCATTGTAAGAATGAAACCATAGGCTTCAAAGGCTCATGACCTTTCTCTAAAAATATGTCAGTAAAATTAAAAGAGCCACAACTCCTGACCATGACAAGTAGAGGCCTTAAAGGATTATAACCTTTCCCTCGTAATATACAATACCTAAGCCCTCAGACCTTGAGGTGTCGATCTCGGCATGGCTTAAATGATTGGGGTTGGAGTGCAATCCTCCTTGACTTAGGACTTTGAGCAAAGTCCCAAAAAGGTAACACAAAAAAATTTTAGTTAAAAAAGGGAGCACTAACAAAATAAACCAGCCAGAGTTCAAAACCAAAGGGCAACCAAGGCCTTGATCCTAAAAGGGTAAACCATAACACTAAAAAGAACTAGCACCAACCCCATCGGAATGAGCTCCTGGGCTAAAGCCAAAAAACATGCTTTGGGCCCAGTGAATATACCAAACAAATGGGAATCATAACTAATTTCCCTCAATGCAAAACCAAAAAGCACGTCTACCCTACAGGCCAAATACCTTCAGACAAACCTAAACCTAGGGAGGAAAACACGAACCATAAGGGACGACAAGAAAACTCGATAAACTAAGTAAAGTCATAACATCCAAAAGTAGGGAAGTTAAAATTGTCTGTCGGACAACTCCCGGACTTAGAAACACCATGCAGGGCCCAATACCAATTCAAATATTACCTAATAACATTGTCTCACAAACCCTGTAAAGATCCAAACAATGTCTCAAACAACAAACAACCGAGGGGAGAAGGACGAGCCTAAGAAGTGTTGGCCTCAAGATGTTTCACTTCAGCGTCTAGATTATCGCACAGCTGACGAAGACCCTCTATGTCCAGCTCACCAAGGTGGAGGTAGGAGGCAAAATTAGTCTCTAGGAAAGACTTCACCTCTGCATGTATTACGTGAGTATGTCCCAAAAGAGTATTCAACTCACCATGCATGAATTTCCCCGTGGAAATTCGTCTCTATTCACATGCTTACCACCCTCAACCCTGACATCCATGCAAGTTGCCTTTATAGGCCTCAAACCAGGGAAAAGTTGGCCTTGTGCAAGCTCTCCAGAGTCCAAACTAACCTGGAGAATATGTTATGCAACAACAACCATTAGGGGGCAACCTGAGCGGTTGTGTACTGCAAGCTTTTAGACATATGGGAGTTGTAGCAGAGTTATAGATCTTCAATTGTAGCAGGAGGAAAGGCATAACGACTCCATTCGTACACATCAGAATGCTTTGTCAAGAGAAAATCTCGTTTAAGCCCCTACTCCGACACATAGATGGCAGGAATCACTGGAAGAGGAGAGAAGGAACCTACAACAACTTCGACTCTCGCCGAGACTGAAGCTGGATCGGAAGGATCTTGGGACATATCATCTGAATCTAGCTCAAAGATCCCCCCAAGGATCGCAGCATCCTTGGGCTCCTTCTTGGGTTCATGAGGCTGTTCTGTCGCCTGTTTACTCATTCCCTCCATTAGTTTCAATGGGTCATCATTGGGAACATTCACAACAACATCAAAATCTGCCAAAAGGTAGTCCACATTTCACCTTTTACATAGGTGCCAAATAGAAGAATTAACACTGGCACCCTCCATAAGTGAGGAGTCCAACCATGCCAACCGCCGCTTAGAAGTTGTCACAACTAGCAAATTTAGGGTTGAGATGGTGTTTCATGTACAAAAATTTCCTCTATGTAACTTTATAACATCAAATTAGTGAAATTCAAACTACAATGTTATTAGAATACATACAAGCATACATTGTGAACCAAGTTGAAATAGCCTAGTGCAAGCCCAAATACTTGATCCAATAGCTAAGCCCAATTAACTTTGGGCCTTGGTCTAAGAATTCTCGGCCCAACACCTTATTAGGCCGAAATCTCTTCCTTGGGCCTTATTGGGCTGGAAACTCTTCCTTGGGACTTATTGGGTCGAAAACTCTTCTTATTGGTCTCAATTAAACCCAAAATCCCATGCATACCCCCAAAACAGACACCCTTCTACCTTTAGGATTTAAAGGACCGAAAACCTCTTAATGGGTAAACCAAAACCAATAGCCCATTTAAGAATCCATGAAGGTTGAAACCCCTATAAGGTTTCGGCTAGAGCATGTGTTAAACAAAAAAAAGGAAAAAGAAAACCCAATAATGACTTGCCACCTCATTTTTATCCCACATACATCAAGGGTCTTACCCATCATGTTTCTATGCAAATATCCCATCAAACATCAAAGAAGTCAACTCCCCCCCCCCACCCCCACACACCAAGCACTTTTCTTCTTCCAATACATTCTCAAGATCTCTCATTCTCTCTTACATATTCGTGTGTGGTGTCATCATCAAGGGTATTTTCTTCAAGTAACTCTCAAGAACTTTGTAAGATCCTTGTAAAACACTAGTTCTTATATACATGTTAGTGTTAAAATCATTCCATTACACACCCATTTTCATGTGTATGACCCTTAGAACATCAACTTTTTGAGAATCTCTCCAAGACCAAGCTAGGCTTGAAAACTTCCTTCTTCTTCTTACTACCACACAAAATCAAGGTGAGCTTCATACCCCATCTTTTCGTGTTTTTCATACTTTTCGGGGGTAGGATACAAGTCCCGTCTCGGATACTCTTTGGTTATTTGCATGCTTTATAGTTTTGAGTTAAAAATGGAACAAGTTTTTAAAGAAGAAGACTCCTAACTTATGATAAAATCAAAAAGTAAATGTTCTAAAAGTTTAGTGGTTGTGTTTGTACACTCAAAAATGGCAAAATATGGGTGTTATGCCCAAACATGTTTAATTCTTGGACACATGCATTTTTAACTCCTATATTTTACACAAATATTTGAAGACATGGTTATTATATGTGTTTTGAAAAAATCGTGACTTATTAGAGTTACAACCAAATAGAATATTTTGTATTACAAAACTTTCAAACCCATTATGGTGTGTTAAACAAACTACAAAGCTTGGTATTTTGCTAAAAATAAGTCTTTTTTGTAAAATAGTCGTAACTATGTGTCACTACTTTGGGTGGCTTAAAAACCTATGGTGTTGTGCTATTTTCACATCATATATTACAATTATTCATGTTCACTAATGATTATTTATAAAAAAATATTATAAATAATTTAATCCAAAATAGTATACAAAACAGAATTTATGACAAAAAAAATTTGTGTGTCATAATCTGATTATCATAAATTTTTTAAAGCACGAGTAGTAAGTTGCATGTCATAAAAGCTGAAAAACGTGTGTCATAAAAATTCAGTCATAAACTTACATTAGTAATGTCATTTTTCATTATTCAATAATGGGAGTCAAAGTTCACGTAAATCCGTTAAAGCTTTAGTGAGACATTGTCTTCATTGTACCTACCTAGCGTACACCTTAAGTCCTGCTATATAACCGGGGTCTCCTTGAGGGAGAGCGAGACCGTTGTGTATTGATCTATATGGGATTGACAACCCCACACCTCAGTTGTTCGCTACAGTTAGACCAACAAGTCTAGGGTGACAAAAGTCTACCAATTCTGATGCCTGAAGAACGTCGTTCAGGCATAACAGTCATATCAAGCATGGTTATAAGAACTCACTTAGGGAATTAACAATACTATCCTAATTTACCAGAAGCTTACACTTCATCGGTTTTATTGAAAATATAAAATTGCATATCATTTTCCAATTGACATTCACTTACACTTCTGATCTTAGGGTTTAAGACTACAGTTTACATATAAGAAAATATTGGATTTTCTGGGAACTTACACTTTACATTTACAAACAAAAGGAAACAAAGGACATGCATGCATATATTCACAGCTTTGGAACGAGACTTACAAACCATTTTCATAGAAAATATCAGATTTTTTGGAGTCATATAAATTATTACAAACAAAGTTGTTACAAACCTTTTTATACAAATATGCTTATGAACTCAACAACATTCAATGTTGACGATTTTCAAAATGACTTGTATTCTCAGGGAACCAGTAAGCAGGTACCTAAGAACCGGATTTGCTGCATTTTGTAATTTCATACTTTATGTCACTTTTGTGTAATTGATGAACAAATAAAATATGTAAACGATGTATGCTGGTATCTTTTAATGTATGTTGTTTGGTTGCTATATTTCAGTCATATTCAATCGTTATGATACTATGCAATGACGTCATCCGCTCCCGGATGTTTCCGCCGTCCTAGTTCGGGGGTGTGATAGAATCTGAGCGCCTATTCCTCGTCAACAACTCAGTCGGTGTCTCCTCCTCGTGATCGGAGGGAAAATGATCATTACGGGAGGCTCCCCCAATAGGCGCGTCGACCAACACTCGATCGATAGAGGGGCTGGATCCAAGAGGAGAAGCAACGCGAGAGCCTGCAATAGCTAGGTCACGGTCGACACCGGCCGGTGAAGGAAGCGTATCTACCAAGGGAACCTCCCAGTATTGATAGGTACCCTGGAATCGTCCCTTCGACACTATCTCAAAGGGGATAACACTCTCACAACCTGCAAATAAAAACCAAGCCATCACAATTAGGGACATAGGCAGAATTACTAGTCGCACAACGCACAGATAAGCATGGGAAGATGGGAATCAAAAAAGGGGGAAAAGGAGAGGTACTTATCGTCCTTCTCAACGTAGAACTGAGGCATCTTCCCCCGTTCCCTCCAAGAAGCACTCATACTAACAAAGGCCATCATGCAATCCTCCTTGTTGAAAGATATGGTTCTCAATGCCCCAGCCACGGTTTCGTTGGCCCCCAAGAGAGCAGGATCCCAATCAGGGAAGTTGGTACGACGAGGATAACCGTCGCCAACCAAATCACGGTTCACCCACAACCACTTGTCCTGCTAATGTTTCTTGGGGGCCTTCTGATTAATGATGAACGCGTGGATTCCCTGCTGCTGAGAGAACGTATGCACCCCAAACTGAGTAACGAGTCGAAGAAGTACTTGAAAGCCCATAACTGAGGAAGCACATCTAAAGCCTTACATGTCATTTTGAAGCCAATGATCTTGTTGATGGCGTTAGGAGTCAGATAGTCAACATAAAAACCGTATTGACGCATAGTATCATCGAAAAATCGGACATGGGAAGCCGGAGCCCTGCCTCAAAGATTGGTATAGGGACTCCGACCTTCCCCTCCAACCGATGGGAAATGATAGCCCCCTTATGAGGGTATTCCACCCCGTTCTCGGGAAGAAAACAGAACCTTTATTAAAGATTAGAAAACTCACTCGGAGAAGGCACGATTCTGATGTTTTGGGTAGCCATTGTTCGTCGACAATAAAAGACAAGAACGGAGAAAAAAATAAAAAGAGTAGAAAGAAGGAAGGAGTAGCAGAAGCAAGAGAAAGTGAAGAAAATGAAACCAACACAAATGAAGGGAGTTTTAAATGCAGGCAGGAATCCCAGGCAGTTATAATGATGAAACCGTATGCGCAGACGCCTCCATCACATCAGTAGTCAATAAGAGCCATCTCCCCCAAACATATGTCCAGATCTACGCTAGAACAACGCAACTACCTTAAGAAAACGTTTACATCTAGTAGCCTAGGAGACTTGTTAACGTATCCCACTAGGAATACACCAAATATAACGGAGTTGTCATCTCTTAGACGACTTAGTCAAAGGTCGACACATACCTAACGCCGAGCACGGGTCTTCGCCCTCGCAACCTCGCGTTTATTGCTTGGCGCCCAAGCACCAAAGCTAACTCCAAGACAAAACAGTACCAAACGCCTCCCAGAGTGACAAATGTAATACTCAGGGCGTTGGCCTTTGAGAATTTTACACCAATAATAGTTAACAACTAGTAGTGCACAATCTGCCAATAGGACGCCTCCGCGTGCTGTCAGCTCAAAAGGGACAAAAAGGTATCGTCGGGATCTTGTCCCCACCACAACATGTATAAATAGATCTCTTCTCCTCCAAGAGAAGGGATCATTTTCCAATAGAACCCAGATTATCTCATCGTGTTATTGACTAGATTGTCGAATCTGTTTAAACCATGATTTATTAAGGTCATAGTATGAATATTTAAAGGTTTAGAAGAGTTAATTAACCGTAGTAACCAAATTATCATATCAAGAGTTAATAGAGTTAATTATATGTTTTTATTATGGTTATGGGGTGTTTGGGATTGTTTTTTGGCCTAAAAAATCATTTTAATAAAAATAACTTTTTGACTTATAACTTTTTCTAAAAGAATATTTTAAAATATATTTGGATTAACTTTTTGAAGAAGAAAAAACCAAAAGTCACCAAAAATCACAAATTAATAACCTTTAAAACCATTTCTTTTTATTATTGCCAAAAAGCCATTTTAAAAAGACTTTTATATTTGTCAAACAAGTTTCCAAGCTTTTAACTTTTTGAAAAAACCAAAAATTAATATATATATATATATATATATATATATATATATATATATATATATATATATATATATATATATATAAAGAATCCTAAACACCCTCTATATAGGTACTCGATAACTTTTACAGAATATAAGAATTCATTTGAGGATAAGTGATGTGAGTACTCTACCTTATGAACTCTTGTCCCTAATATAATGGTATATTTTGATATCTTCTTTTGTGCGATACGTATATATTGTCTGGATACTACATCTATTTTATGCTGAAATGTCCTTCCTTTTAAATGATTGTCGAAGTAAGCATATATAATTCCATGTGGATACAAATGGTAGATTTAGAAGTGTTTGACTTGTCTTTTTGAAAGACAAAAATCATTTTTAGAAAAAATAAAGGGTATGAAATGTTTGGTAAAAACATTTTAAAAGTTATTTTTAGATTTTAAATAGAACGAAAAGTGATTTTTTGAAAAAGTTAGGAAAATCTGATTTTTTGTAACTTTTCCAAAAAATCATTTTGCCTTTCAAAAAGACAAGCCAAACACCCCCTTAGACTTATTCCATAAAGTTATACCAAGTCTAATTACAAAATAAGTAAAAAGTTCGGTATCTTTTTGTAGTTTTATAATTATATATTTCAAAAAAGATTCATCAAATTACAAAGGTATATCTTGGATACTTGGTTACATGGGTAAAATCTGTCTCTTGTAAAGAAACATATTTATCTGATTGTGTGTCTTGAAAGAATAATCGTAGACTAGATATATCAAACAACTTTTGCAAGATCATCAAGAAGCCAGATTTATGGGCTAGGTTTTAGGAGTGAGCATTCGCTGGAAGAGCCTAAATACAACAAGAAAAGAAATCGATGGGTGTACGTAGAATAATTTGTGATGCATTTCGTCGAACAGGTTACATGCAAAAAAGTATATCACCACTGATTAGACAACACTATAAGGCTTCCACATATCAACATAAAACCTCAAAGATTTAGGTAAATTCTCCTTCCACAAATCCAAATCAGGCAACCCACCTGTAACAGCAATTGAGCTATCGTCTTTCCTACTCCCAAGATTCAGAACACGAACCTCACCTGGAAAAACCTTCTCCATGGCCTTCAATGTCTCCTCCATAATCACTTTCCCATCTCTCCTAGAATCCTCTGCTTCCACACAACTCCCTCCAACATTCACCATAATCCTCCCACCATCCCTCAACTTCTTCTTCATCTTCATCCAAGTATCCGGATCCTGTAGCTCCGGAATTAAACACCCTTTACTAAACAAATCAACCATCAACCCTGAAAACCCAGAATCAATATTAGCACTCAACGCATTGCCAACATAGATGAAAAGCCTATCTGGGTATTGCCTTTCGAGCTTAGCGAGTCCGAAATACTCTCTTCCAACACCAATCACCGCCGGGTCAAGTTCCCATCCATGGATCACGCCTTGAGGGTACAGCTCCAATATTAACTTGGCAGCAGACCCGGCTCCAAACCCGAGAATTCCTAAAGGTCCGGGAGGTAAAATGGGTGGAAATGTAGCGAAAACGTCGAAGTAGGTGCCTGTGAGTAGTTTGAGAAGGAAGGAGATACTGTGAATGTTGCCGGGGGCATCTAATAACAGGAGTCTGGAGCCGGCGAAAGGGTGGTCGGATTTTCGGGAAACTTCGAGGACTCTGATGAAATTGTGCCTGGATTTGAACTGAGCTAGGGTTTTGACAAGGTTAATCGGAATTCCGTCTTCGTGGGTTTTCGTGGTTGCATCGGATTTTTGGGATCTGACTGTCAATGGTTTGAAGGTTTTAGGTTTAGATAATGAGGGATAGAGGGGAATTTGAAATATCGACGGTTGGAATTGGAGGGAAATTATGCCTGCTGCCATTGTTGTCTTTCCTACCTCCAATGCACCATCTCAGCGGCCTCTTTCATAATCTAATAAAGGATATCGTAGTAAATAATTTTACTTTTTTAAATTTTTAAATTTTTTTTTAATTTTATTATTATTATTATTATTATTATTATTATTTATTTTTTTTGTCTCATATCTTTCACCCTCCCATGTATTCAAGTTCAATTTAACAATGTAAATGAAAACAAATGAGTCTAAAGTGAAAATAAAGTAAAAAGAAATTGTTTTTCCTGTTTCATTAAAGGAAAAAAATATGAAAGGAAACGGAAGTAAATGATGATCAAATTTCCTCCCAACAAAAATAAAATGTTTAAATCTCTCACCAACACAAAATACAAAATTTTTTTATTTTTATTTTTTCTTCTTTTTTCTTCTTTTTTCTACTTATTTTCTTTGCTAAAACTCGAAAACCATGCGTTTAAGAATCTCAATTTGCTAACATCTAAAATCTACATTATCTTCTTCAATATTATATTTTTACTAACTTTTATTTTAATGATTTTTTTTCAAATTTTTAAAAGGTTGAATTTAAGCAAAAAACCGTAAATTTGGTCATTGTAGTTTACCAGAGGTTTTTTTGTTTTTTTGTTTTTCGTTTTTTTTTTTTTTTTTTTTTTTTTTTTTTTTTTTTTTGGACAAAACTACAAAATTGGTCCTTGTGGTTTCATTAAAACTTTAGATAGGATCAAAAACGTTTCCGACTTGCATGAAAGGTTCAAAATCAAAAACTTTCGTTGATTTTAGTCCATTTTAGTCATTACAAAACCTGAAAAGACTTTTTTACCCTTTAGATTTTTTTTTTTCATTTTTAGTATCAATTTTAACTATTTTATAAATAAAAAAAGAAAATATCCTTTTCTCTCTCTCTCTCTCTCTCCGATTCTTTCTCTGTGAAATTTTTTTTTTTTTTTTTTCCATTTTCTTCCTTACTTTTCACTTTCAAGTGCAATTAAATGAAAAAAAAAAACCCCAGATCAGAGAAGCAAATCCATGTCAAAATGGAATAAGAATCATTGAAACATTAATATCAACTTACCCATTTCCTAACCATCTTCTTCTTCCCCGGTTAATCAACCCCCTGATTGAATTGATTGAACCCACCTATCTCGTCTATATGTTGTGTCTCATCAGAAAAACGTGGTACGATGTCTCTAGCGAGACCAAGCGTTCATCACCGACCTTGCCTCCACCGATGACTTAGGAAGCTAAAACTCGTGGCTTCCCTTATTTGATCTCCATTCTTGCAATTAGAGGTGTTTTTTTCTTGTTGATCTTACCCTTCTTTGTGTAAATCAAAAACCCAGAAGATGAGATGATGTAAACTGAAAACCCAGAAGAATATTTAAACCAATGTCGTCGAAGATGGAGTGATGGTTGAGCGATGTCATCAAATGTCTTGACTCCTAGAACCAACACCTTTATTAGCAGGTTTCGTTTGTGAGAGATTTGATTTTCAGGATGTATATGTGAGAGGTTTCAGTTGAAGGTAAAGGTTAGGAAGAAGAAGATGGGAGGGGTAGTGATGAAACTGCATCAACGATATGAGTCTTCCTCATCAGATCGTTCGATAACGATGTGTGTTTTGGTATTGAACCAACAATTGTTTATGAGCCTTATCACCAGAAACAATATCTAAATCTGTAAATATGTGTGTTGAATCTAAAATCAAGGTGCACTAACTTTCTGAGATAATTTCCTCCTTCTTCAACACATAAAAAAATACACACAAATTAATGTTGATTTCGTAAGTGTGTGCCAATTTCGCCATTGGTTTGACTTCGAAGCTGAATCAAAAGTGTGTATGTGTGAGTGTGTGTGTGTTTATTGTAGAGAGAGAACGGTGGAGGTGGGTGGGGATAATCTTTTTCTTTCCTTTTTTAAGTTAAAATGTTATTAAATTAACTATAAAAAATACAAAAAAAAATGAAAGGGCATAACCGTCATTTTAAGTTTTTTGGACTAAAATCAAAAGAAGTTTTTGATTTTGGACCTTCCATGCAAGTCAGAAACATTTTGGACCCTATCCAAAGTTTTTATGAAACCACAAGACCAATTTTGCAGTTTTGTCTTTTTTTTGTGTGGTTTTAGTGTGTGTTTCTATAGTTTCAAATTTTGTCTTTCAGCATATTTCATTGTAGTTTGGTTAGCAGAGATAAAACATGTTCTCTCTCTCTCTCTCTCTCTTAATATATTACACCCATCCATGAAGAATCCTAATTCATCACCCTCATCTATTTCACTTAATTCTTTTCTCTCATTCTAATTCAATCTCACGATCTTCAAACTGACCAGTATACTAATTTGAGATGGCCTCTTCATCTAATCAAAGGTATTTCATATGACTTTTTTATTTGTTTCTTTCATAACGATTACCCAAAATGTTTATATTAAAACTAGAAGATTTTAAAAAGCACCCAAAGGTTAAAACTTTGGCAAAAAAATAACTACATCTAAACATCTAAAAAAAAGATAAAACCTTGAACATTCATCCTTCAGCCATGTATCTTCATCCCTCAACCTTAAACATTCAACATTCAAAATCATGAACCTTCAAATGTCTGAACCTTCAAAATGTTAAACTCTCTCTTCTACTGTCAACCTCTGTTTCATCACTCTTTGACTAAGGACCTTCAGAAGATTAATTAATGTCACAATGATGTCCAAATCTTATCTCTAAATCCAAGGAGATAAAACTGTGTGATGGACCACTTGTGCACTATGTGATTCAACTTAGCTATTGAAGCATCTCACCTTTTTCATTATTACTTAGAAAATATAAGGTTTTTAAAGATTTACTAATCTTTGAATTTGTTTTTTTATTTATGGGTTATGGTTGTTTATAAGGACCTTTTACAGGTTGTTTCATATACCTAGATAGTAATTAGTTATTAAACACTAGTTTTACTTGTTTTGAAAATGACAGTCACAATTCTGTACATACGTAGACCATAGTAGAAATAATGTGTAACGACCGAAAAATACAACCAATTTAAATTTTTCAAAAACAACCTGATTTCATTAAATTGTTTACAAAAGGTTTTCAATACAAATCATTTAGAGTATTCCCAGAATCACATTGCTACAAAATCATGAGGAGCGGTACGATCACGCCTTCGCCTTGCCACAGTCTCCTGAAGAACCTGAAAAACATTAAACCACAACTGTAAGCCCGAAAGCTTAGTGAGATACCCCCAAAATACCAACCACATATACGCCCTTCCAGGCTACGACCTTCCGGTCCAAAACATATTGCCTTCCGGCCCATAACATATAAAACATACATAACATAACAAAACATAGAACATCCATGCATATCGGGTCTACTGTGTGACTGGTCCGCCGTATCGGGCCTTCAGTCCACCGGATCCATCCTCCGAGTCTAGTCATGTCCTTCGAGTCTACAGTGTGGTTGGTCCGCCCGCACTGGGCCTTCAACTCACCTGGTCCACTCTCTGAGTCTACAGTATGACTGGTCCGCCCGCATCGGGCCTTCAGTCGGCCTGGTCCACTCTCCGAGCCTCGGCACGTCTGGTCCGCCCGCGTGGGGCCTACAGCATATCCGGACCGCTCGCTGGGCCTTCGGAACAACCGGTCCGCCCTGAGTATCTTGGCCTACAGCACAAAGTAGGACCGCCTCAACCCATCTCCAGTCCAAACAACCATGTACACATAAACATATAATCATATAACAGTTCACATTCAAACAAGCCGATCTAGCAGATCACATAGCATAACATACTCTAAGCAGGATACCGACCTAACAGGTCATTAGCATAGCATCTCCCTATCTCTCAGGATACCGATCTCAATCAGGTCTCTAACATATACCGTCCTAACTCTCAGGATGCAAGCATATCACAACAACAAAATAATAACAACTACCCGGATCTCAATCCGATAAGGGCCGGCCTTGGTGCCTTAGACCCTGTTGATATAGTGAGGATAACTCACCTCGAAACTGCCGGCTGAAAGGATAAGATCCCGCTGCTCCAACCCTGACACGAACTCCTCCACTGAACACCGAAACATTCAATTCAATAAATACCCTTAATTACCAAAATACCCCTGAAGACAACTGGTCAACCTTGGACAAAGTCAAAGTCAACCCCTGACTGACCTACTCGCCGAGTCAACCCGATGACTCGCCGAGTCCCTATGCTCAGAACTTCCCTCTCAGCGACCCAACTCGCCGAGTCACCCCAAGACTCGCCGAGTCCAACAACTCTGAGTCCACTCGCACCCAACTCACCGAGTCATCCCTTGACTCACCGATTCTCGACTCAACCAGGAAATATTGGGACTCTTCGACAAGACTCGCCGAGTCCAAGAACAGACTCGCCGAGTCTAAGGCTATCTTCAACCTACTCGCCGAGTTGTTCTTCCAACTCGCCGAGTTCCAGGCCATCTTCAAGCAACTCGTCGAGTCCACCCATGTGACTCGCCGAGTATCACCGGTCTGAATCAATTCAGAAGCACTCCAGGCCATGCAATTGATCCAAAACATAGATCCAACCTCCTACAATCCATCCATCACGTAAAGTGGCAAACTTTACGTGAATCCAAAGAGATCTAGGCCTTATTCACCTTAGAACTAAGGTTTGGGACATGATAGCTCCATTAACAACACAAGAACAGGGGCTTTAATGCTCTTAAGATCTTCTCCACTCCAGATCTGAGGTAGCAACCTCAGATCCATCCTTCAAACTCAAGATGCCACACAACTAAGCTTCCCACACAACCCCAAAATGAGAATCTAAGAGAACACAGCCCAAGAACGAAATATTACCTCCAAAGAATGCCCCAACAGCAATGAAACTCGAATCCAAGCAAAGCCCCTTGATCCAAGCCTATTCTCCTTCAAGATTTCTTCAACAACACCTCTCCAAGCTCCAATTTGCTCAACAATGGGGTTCCTCCATGAAATTAGGGTTTCTGGGACTCAAGGGGGGATCAAGGAGGCTGTGGAGGAAACA